TTGAAACAAGCAAACAGACAGTAGAACAGAAGCAGGACTCGAGAGAGGATTCACAGGACAACTGGAAATGGAAATAATTGGTGGAAAGCAGCAAAAGAATCGTTACAGACAAATACCTGACAGCAACGCAGAGTGCAGGAATCTGATCCTCCTCTGGTAGGACTTTTCAGGAGAGGTGGTGAGAGGAAACAGCAATGGAAAATATGAAAGAGATTTTTATCGATGAGCTGCCTCCTGCTAGATGTGACCTGTGGCATTTGTTAAACCAAATTATACAACCTTTCATCAGAAAAAGAGAATTCTCTTCAAATACTCCAATTGTTAGGCTACACCCCTATCTCTTCACGTTAAGAAGGAAAACTAATTATGCATTATTTGTTACAAGTAGTTTGTTTATGCCATATAAAAGAAATGGGTTGAATGGATACCTTAGGTAAAATACTTCTTAGCACTAGTATTTTTGAAACAAAGGTATAATTAGGGATTAGATTAAAATCTGACTCTTCCGAAAACCATGGAAGAACTTTATGCAAGAAAGCAAATAACATGTAACAAAACCACCCTCTTCCCTGCCATATCCCCACAGGAGGACTTAAGTCTTTCCAGAAATGGAATAAACAATACTCTGGGGACACTCAGGAATGCTTATAGTGGTTAGTTTTTTAACATGATACAATAAAGCATTGTATAGGGATAATATTCTTGCAGAGTCAAAGGACATGAAAGTAAAAAGGGCTGAGTCATGGGGAGGCAGCGTTAAGTATCCACCAGGTACAATTAAAAACCCCTGCTTAGCTGGGTTAGGCCGTACCTTCCTGAGGCAAAATACCCAATTTACTGGACCCTCACCTCAGCGGTGCCAGAAATTTTTTGTTACCAGAGTAACAGAACTCTATATGCCGGCCTTCATAAGCGTACAATCAAAGGGACGATCCAGTTTCCACCCACTGTGTGCAGGCTGCCAACTGAAATATTTACTACCCCTTGAACTGGCCAGCCAGGAACGCAGCAGCAGCAAAGAGTATGAACCACATATGTACTGCCACTGACCTGGTACATGTTCTGTTTGCTGGAAAAGGTACAAGAGAAATTTGAAGTGAACATGCTGTGGCTACATTAGTAGAAAAATTCACTATGTGCTTTAAAAAAAACCCAACATACAAAAAGAATCCAAACCCCATCGACAACTGTGCTGCATGCAGTAAGAACAGTGCTTGAGTAATGTCTCAGAGAATTGTCCTTGCTATTAGCCTAGCAATTGAGATATATTGTTTCATTATAGAATAGGAATTCATGAAGCCGTTAAGTATTAATTTCCTTTATAATGCTGCTGTTCTATTAAGTGCCTTCAGTGGTTACTCATTTTCTCCCCATAGCCAAAGCGTCTTTGAAATGTGGTGACAAATTGAACAAATGGGAGAAAACTGCGGTTTTTCTTTTTGTTTTTTTACTTCTGTTGTCTTGTGCACTCTGCCTTCAGGAGGTAGGAAAATTTCAGTTGTGCCATGCTAAATGCAAATGCTTTCTTTTGCATATGTCATCTAGCTCAGAAGAGGAACATACTTCTTCATCACCAACAGATATTTGAGGCAAGCTCTAAAGATTGTTTTCTTTCTCTTTGTATTTTGCTGACTAGTAGAATGTAGTGGTCAGAAAGATGCTAGGAAAATAAATCATCTTTGTAAAGGAAATATTTTTTTTGCTTGGCAGTCATATCCAAAATAAGATGTTTGACTGTAGCCAGAAGAGATTACAAAGCCCACCGTGAGTTTGATGCATCTTTTATTCCTGCAAAAACCACAAGGCACAGATTGCTAGATTACCGATGTCAGAGCTGCCCTGGAATGAAAATCTCCTTCATGTTCTACCTGAATGGTCCAACGCAGCTCCTGACCACAGGAACTTGGCTGGATGGTGGGCAGTTACGGAAGCACTTTAGGATCCCACCACACCTGGTGCCCTCAAAAGGCCACTCAAGGATTCGGGACAGCCTTTCGCACCTGCACAGGAGGTCTTGGCTGGATATCGGTTCCACATTGCTTTTACTTTCTGGAAAGCACAGAACATGTAACCTCTAGGTACGGCAAATACATAAAATAAGCAGGATACCGAATGTTCTCAGAATACTGATGTCCCACTTATTTTCTTATCCACATAGTATTTTGCTTTAAATAAACACTTCATTAAGTCCAATCTCAAGTGATAGGCCCACAAACTCAACAGAACTTAGAATTTCATTTATCCCTTATTATCAATATTATCCAGAAAAACTTTGTTGCTGTTTTGCAGGTGTTTCCTCAGACACTCTTAATAAGATGCCCTCCTGTTTCCTAATTATCATTTACAACTAGGAAAAACATCATAAACTTAACACGTGCCACAATTTCCTCACCTAGCCTGGCTTAACACAGAGAAGCAGCGAGCCTTCCCTATGCTAATGCACAGACGCATTGAGATTTGCTCCCAGCATCCTGTTCTCAGGATTCTGGCTATCAGTTTCTCTTCATCTTTCCAAGTCCATGCTGCTTTTTGCTGCCGTTTTTGGTTTCTTTCCAATTTATTAATATCCTTGTCATAGCACGGTGTCCAGAATTTAACAGTCATCCAGCTGCGGGCTCACGACCGCTGAACATGTGTTGCAGCAATGTCACTTCTGTGCAGAGTTTCTTCTAATTGCAGCTGTCATGGCAGGAGATTCACATTCGGTTTATAAACATCTCAAATCATGTAATTAAAGTTTAAAGGAATCTTGGTACTTGGCTTTTACCTATGGCTGTGGGAGATTCTTAGAACCACAGAAGAGAGAGGCAGAAAACTCAGTGGCAACCAGTGCTCACCTCTAGTGTTTTCTTGCTGTTTTCCTTAATTTTATCCTTCCCCCCCCCCCGAGAGCCCATTGCATTTCACATTTTACTTCTGGCTTTCACTCTTTTGTAGAGTGCTACAAAAAGTACTTCGTAAGCATATGCTTGTTCAAACACATTTTTCCTTTCACTTTATCCTTCCCCTGAAAAAAACGTCTCCAGGTTTTAAATAAATAGCTTTCTGGAGGAAGGAATAACAATGTGTTCTTCTAGCTTGTTATGGAATATACTGAGCTTAGAATTGTTCCTTACAGAATTTTATTTACCCTTAGTGTTTTGGTAAAAACACCATTAGCGATGATCTTCCTTTTTTGGCTATTAAGCTTATGCAGTGGTTAATTGTTGCAGTGGTTAATTGTTGCAGTGCCTGCTGCAAGGAGCTGCTCAGTGCCACAGTTAGCATGAAAAGTTAAAAAGCTGAAGTCGTTTAGAAAGTTCACAATAGATAGTTGACATATTTTTGCTTGTTGTCAGCTAGTGCTCTCATAAGACCCATAGACATGAGTGAAGTAGGAGGAAACAATACATCTGCAGACACTGGCAGACAGCATTGCTTGCCAAATTTGGCCACAGTTCCTTTAGATAAATAATTTCTCAGTGACGTGCTGTGTTGAAATTATATAAACAGCAAAAATTACTAAGACCTGGGCCCCAGGGTCTTGCGGGTTTCAAGATTTTCTGCAATCAATATTCTGACATCTGCAAATATTTTTCTCTAACAGCTGATGCCAGGAACAGAGCAACATTACCATCACTTTCTATGTATTCAAGATTTTGAATATATTGAAATAACGTCTCGTCAGCCCCAGCCCTGGTCAGGACCTTTGCAGTGTTATAACCACCAGCTCATACAAGGCAGCTTATACAGAAGTTATCAAAGCAGCAATCTTTTCTCAGAATGCCTTGTAACCTCTTACAGCAACAACTGCATTAGCATTTCAGCTAATGTACATGGAAAATTACTGTATTGAGTTTCGGTCTCCAGAATTATCAAGGGTTTTAGAGTAACTTCTGCTGAACGTAACGTAACTTACTTTGCACATTGAATGTACGGGGTTAGAGGTTATTAAGGTTGTTCTTCCTACTTAGGACCAGACAATAGCTAACTTCTAACTCTGTGGTAAGACTTCCTTGATAATTAAGATACTTCCACTATGACAGGCACATACACTAGAGCTATCTGAAAAGTGTTTTCTATTGCTGAGGAATTTATGCAGGAAATAAATGTGCATAATTCTTCCTGAACACAAACATCCCACAGGAAAACCTTACCTGACTAATTTTTATGGAAGCATCTCTAGACAATCTTCTGAAGTCGTAAAAACAAATCCTTTATTTAACAGATATTCTTTAAAAAACAAAAAAAAATCCATTTCCATAACAGAACTCAAACCTGTGCATGTCACACGAGACATTCTGAAGGCAGTAGTTGTTGAATATTCACAGTTACCCATGGCACTGAGGAAACATGGGCTATGCAAAATGAGTAACTGCATTTATTACTATTGCCTAAGTAGGAAAGACCAGACAGGAACAAAAATGTACTTTTAAAACAGTTATGCTTTTCTTTTGATGATATAACCTCCAGCACCTGGCCCCTCCTCTAGCAACATTCCCAAAGTAATACTGCTCTCTGAAAATAGCCTGAACAAAATTAACACACTTTGTTCCATTTTCAGTCCCTCATGTACTAATCAGGAACAAAGCAGAGATATGCAAGTATGGAAAAAAGTCTCTCAAGCGCTTTCTTATTTCAGTCATACCTTAAGGCAAATTTGTAAGTTTTAAGGGAATATCTTGAGCATTAAGCATAGAGCTTGTGAAACTATTTTTCTTTGTAGTTTTTGATCAAAGTTAACTTTCCCAGAGAACAGGTATGCACAGCAATAACCCCTCAGAAGTGTCTTAGGATAAGACCATGTTAGTGATATTCATGTCATTTTTACATCTGCAAGTATTTCTTAAAGTAAACTTACATTTGCAGTCCAACTGTATGAGAGAAAAATTTCAGTAGTTCTGTGCACAGTGTGATGGTATTTCAATGAGTGTAAGTGTTGAGGGCAACAAGGTAAAACTACCTCAGCGCCTCATTTCCACATAAAACGTATGAAAGCAGTAATAGAATATGGTATCTTCTCAGAGTCTCATGTCTTTAAAAAAAGGATGCAGCAGAGCCTCTTTTGCAGTTATTCTCGTTGCAGGGTTTAAGTCTAGTAGCTTATCAAGTAGGTCATATGCTTCATCAGGAACCCAATCCCATCCTTTCACATCTGTTGCCTTCATTTCCAAACCATCACCTTCCTGAAAGCTCTTTAAGTGCTGAACTTGTTTTCCGAGTGTCTCGGGAGCACACGGTTTGTCTACTGCAACTGGCAAAGCTGAGTCACTCACAGGCTTGCTGGGCACTTCACCCTGGGATCTCTTACAGCTGCTATTTGTTCCTCTCAGCTTCTCACAGAGGGTTCTTAAGTTTTGTGCTGGGACTACTTGGGTACACAGAACTGATTTACCTAGAAAAACAAATTTACAGTAAGCGACGTTTTATTATACTTTCTATGCAACTGTAACTTCCAAGTTTGTTTCAGAGAAACTTCATGTCTTGCAGTGTAACCAGCATTAAAGCAAAACAAAACACCAACCTATCAAAAAAATCAAATCCACCCTCCCCACTCCTCCAAAGCAGCCATGTTTTACAGCAATAGCCCCAGCAAGTCAGAAGGCTGTCTCGGTTCTGCTCAGAACAAAGCTGTTTGGGTTTGTTCGGGAAGTGATGTAGTGACAGGTTGAAACCTACCCCACACCCCATCTTTTTGCCTTTCACTGTCATTGTAACAGAACTGAAGAAAATTAGATACCCTGATTTTTACACCGCTGTCTGGAGAATGAAAATCGATGCTGTCAGTTACACTTCCAGGTAGTAAGTGCTGCAGCATTTGGCTTGCAAACAGTTAGGGGAACAGTTATTTTAGTTTTTTGTGTGTTTTGTGGTGGTGGTGGTTTGGTTTTTTAAACAGGTCGTTTTTTACTAGCCCTTCTTGGAGGGGGCGGGGGGGAAGCGAGGTTTACATCATCTAAATATTAAGTCATATTGAACTTAAGCCTCCAGGGCAAATTTTGCAGGAATAGCAACGTTGCCTCAACAATTATAACCAAATGCCAGTAGAAAACATTTAATTGGCATATTTCACCTCAAGTGGCCCTGACTTAGTGAAAGGCAGTGGACAGGTTGGGAAAGCTATGGCGTGAAGTACCCCATGTACAAATTATAAAAGACAGAAAAATACAAAACTCTCTTAAAACTCTGTATGTATAGATTAGTATTTTTGGTGCTTTACATGCAAAAAGTGTGATTTACCTCCAAAATGACTCCCAAACCTAAAAATATATGTATATATTAAAAAAAAATTTCTAAAAAAATCACAGATTGTAAGTCACTGCATTAAATAGCAGACCAAGCATGCATAGTCCCCTTTTCCCCATAATTAAGGTTTGCATACCAAAAGTTTTAGCAGCCTGAATGGTTTCTCTGGATCCACGAACTGTCATGATTTGTGCCAAAGCAGTTAAATCATCACTTGCTTTGTAAAATGGATACCGTCCACTGAGCAGAGAAAGGAATATGATTCCTGCAGACCACATGTCAATTGCTGCAATCGAAAGCAAACTTACTAATAACTAAACTCATGATTTCATCACAAACAAAATCACAACTTTCTTTAAAAAGAAATTATGACCTGAAAAGTTTCTATCAGAAAAAGTTATGTTCTGAATTACTTACTGACTTTGGTCACATAGATAACACTTCAGCAAACAGTGGAAATTACTATAATTAGATTGAAGAATAATTTCCTGCTTTGATGCAGAGGGAGCAGTTAAGCTTTTCCATAGAATTTTTCATATGAGTAATTCCATGAACTTGTTAAACTTAAAATGTACCAAAACAATGTTTGAGGTTGCTTTACCCAGGGAGATGAGGGGGGGTGAAAAAGTGGTTAGTTTTGATAGTTATTTAAGTTTGCTTCATATGAAGAAAACCTTATATAAAGATCATAAATAAAAAATAATTCACAAATGAATGCGCATCTGAATTTTTCTGAGCCTGAGGCTGCCAGTTAGGCAGTACTAAAAAATTTATCTTACTATGAACTTTGTTCCTCTCTAATATAAAATCACTTGACAAGATAGCCAGTTTAAGAACTGTAATAGTTAGAAGTTATTCATCACTTTCATTGTGTTATGAAGAGTACAGAGAGTACTCTGGGGATAGATGCCAAAGCATGATGGAAACTTTAATACTGAAAGTTATGAGAATACCTGTCTGCCATAATTTTTTGGCTCACTAAGGTGCACATTTTGAGAGATGGCGAGGAAAGTGAAGGAGAGAGTTTGAAAGATTCTCAAACTCTAAAGAGAAAAATTAACAGTTGGGAAATAAAGCCATAGTTAATCTACTTCTCTTCAAACAAAATAAGTAGTAAAACAGGCAGTAATTAATTTGGACATTTTAGTGAGAAACACTATTAGCATAGGACTTCGGGAAAAAAAAAGTATTAAGTTGACTTCAGTTGCAAAACCAGATTTTAAGTCTTTTATTAAAAAAATAAAAATCCAAGTTAATCACTTGGCACAATTTACAGTGGAAAATTTTTGTATCTTCTTCATAGTTCCTGTAAAAAAGTTTTAGTATTACTGTATCACTGTTGAAAAGATCATACTGTTGGAGGTGTTGTGCATCACACCAGGTATCTGGTTGGGAAAGGTGGAGTCATCAAGGTCAAGACCTTTAAAGATGTTTCATTAGTTAACTCGTGCTGAAATTATTATAGACATTATATATCTGCATGGCTAGTAGATCCTGCCCCTACAATTCTGGTAGAGCTGGCATCAGCAGCAGAATGCAAGATCCTGTGCAATGACATCAAAATCATGACTCCTCTCTATGCTTTTGTCTGGTGTTATCCAACTAGCGAGGCAGCCCGAGCCGAGGAAAGGGGAGCAGAGGGACAAACCAAGTTAAGGCGTAACTGGACCTGCACAACATCAACTGGGGAGTTTTGTTTGTATTCCCTGTGCTGTGAACCTGGGCCAGATGCACTAAGGTAGCTCTGGACAGAGTCAGCTGGATCCAGCTGGTAACGGTCTCAGCAGAGAGACGAGAACTACTAGTAAGATTGGCAGGAATACAAGGAGGTGACTACAGCAGTCCCAGATGGAAGTGGGCAAGAAGATATGTTAGTTCAAATACAACAGAATCTCATAAATATTAGTATTAGTCTATCCAGTTTAATTAAGGCCTTTGTTGACATACTACAGGAGCTCGGCACCACTGACTCAGTACTTCGAGGGCTGTCTGTGCCACACCCAAGGGTTTCCAGATTTACCCATATTTTCTGTAATCCTCCTCTCCGTTACCCTAGAGAACAGAAGACTGTCTGAAAGCATGTTTAATACTAGCATGTGTCCAAGATTTCCTAGGTATGTCTTCTTTCTGCCTAAATTCTGTCTAGACAGATTCAGAGATTGTCTAAACTTGTCCTGGATTTCTGGATGTCTTCTAGCCCGTAAAGCTGGCTGTTACAGCACAGCCACAGTAACTCCAAACAGGCTGCCCTACCTCTTGAAATCCCAGTCATACCCACAGCACAGATGTTGTTTCAAGTAATGTTAAGCTATCTAGGGATAAGCTGATCAAATGTATTGTTAAGTCTGTTCTGAGGGTGTATACACACTAAGTACTGAAAATTGACAATTTTCTCAAAAGGTATTCAGCAAAAAAAGGGGCTAAAAGCTGTTATTTTAAATCCAATTTTTGGGGACATTTGTATTTATCCCCCTTTTTCATACGTCAAAACTCCTAGTCATACACCAAATGTTTAACAGGTAACTTTGCTTTTATTGGTCCTCCATTCTCCAGGTAGGCACAACCTCTCCCACCCCACCTGCATCAGCTAATGCATTAACCATCCCTCTGCTCTGCCCTCATATTTACCCAGGCTACTGAAACGTATTAACTTGATTGTTTTATTTAACCCTGAGAAATTAAAAATTTAGTAAGAAAAACTTAAGACATTTACAGCCCAGCTATTTAAAGCGCTAGCAAAAAGGAAAAAAGCTGATAACAAGTATTAACCAAAGCTTTCTAAAACACATTTGCAATTACACCATTAACTCTGCCTGCTATAACAGCAAACTATATGTGACAACCTGTCTAGAAAAGTCTAAAGTACGTCCTCTCCCCAAGATTTATTCAAGATTTTACTTGAATAAATAAGCCAATAAGCCAAGAAACTTGATAAAAATTACAGCTCCATTTTCTTTTAAAACACATTGTATTCAACTCCTGCATATGGCACTACCCCTCAAATGAATAAAGACATATTTGAGTTTCAAATACAGGAAAAATATTCCTAACCTGTTCTTAGTCTGAATAAACAACTTTTAATTAAAATCAGGAAACGCTTGGTGTTAGAAGGGATGATAAAATGAATGTCACATGTAAGCAAAACCCCTCCCATAAAAAAGACAACATAATAGGCATAAATGAGAAGGATCTAGAGGTGAAAAGAGGCATTAATTTCAATCTGTTGTGCAGTACCTGTGGTCTGAGTGGGGCACTTTGTTAATACTTCTGGTGCTCTGAATCCAGGTGTTCCTGCCCTGGGAGCAACTTGCTGACACCTCGTAATAAGAGACAATCATATTTAGAATATAAAAGTTGATAAAAAAGTTCTGATTATAATAATGCTTAATATTATTTTTAGAATGTACTTGTGTAAGAAATCTAAATAGCCTAACCCTGCCTTATTCAAGTTTTATAGAAGTTTGAAGCATCTTATAATTATCTAGCATGAAATTATCTTGCATAAGGTAATTGTTATATTTTTATTATATTATCTAGCATAAGGTAATGCCACAGAAATACTTATTGCATGCTTCACTCACAATGACCTTTTTCAGTTTCATTCACCGGCAGCATCATTTTTGCTAAAGGCTTGTTTTCACAGGAAGCTTTAAAGTTGAGACTAATTAACCTAAGCCAAAAAATGCACTAGATTCTTGAATGTGGAAGCGCTGGCTTTGTATTAGTCCACAGCAAACCAAGGTTCACTATTTCTGAGTGTTGACAAGAACTTACTTTTCGTTAGATTAACTAAAAAGTGTGAGATTATCATTATTTAAAAAAACAAACACACACACACCCCCCCCCAGCTTTCCAGAGCTTTCTTGTATGGCTTTCCTTCTATGGGCCACTTCTGGCAGATGCCTCACGTTTCATACTTCTGAAATGAAGTTGATATCACCATATTCTGACAGTCTGGGAAGAGAGGGGCTATGCCTACTAAGCAGAATTCTCTGCATTATTCTGCATTCCCTAATGTGTGGATAAAAGGCAATAGTAGATCACAACCAAAACTAACTGCAGAGGGATGGAGTTGAACCGAGTTATTAAGATTCTCTAACCTGTCTATAATTATCACTTAAACATTATTTTTTAAACAAACAAATACAAAACAGTCATGTTTCCTTTTTATTCTACTTTTCATGATTTCCAGAATCCAAACCATTGGCATGATTTAGGCCTGCTAGATAACTACTACTGACAGACTGATGTATTGTCTTCTCTAACTGTTATAATTAATTCAAGTGATTTTCTACAACACATGTAGGTCAATAATTAAATACAACAACAAAAAATCATTAACAGTGAATCTCTCTTACTGCAGATAGCAGTGAACCAATTATCCCATGAATTCCACGAACTATTCTTGTTTAAAAAGAGCATACTCAAGTGTTTCAAGGGTTGCACAGATCAAATGCTATCTTTCACCTACTAAATCAGCTATCTAGTAAATCTAAGTTTCTGACCTTGCTTGACAGTATAGCAGACAATTTTACAACATTATCAAAGCAAATTACCTTGAAAGGCAAACACTGCAAACTCTATCTGTTGCATAACAGTCACAGGTCAGGTTTGAGGGACAGCCACCGGCAGCTTTCCTGGCTGCCCCATTGCTCACTGTTTTGGTAGAAATAATCTTCTTCTTGGTTACTAACTTCCTCGATGAAACATCTATCATCTTTGATTGTTTTATGAGCTGCAATGTAGATATTTTAGAGGTGACATATTTAAGAAGGTTCCCTTTACATACAGATAGGCCAGTTCCTAAAATACTAAGGCTGAACAGATGTTCATGAGCAAGAAGCTGCAATTTTAGAACAGAAGACAGCAAACCTTTTTAACAATATCACAACATCTAAATATCCTGATTTCCTCCCCTTCCCCTTCGGAAAACATTTTCCAGTGTTTACTGAAAAACAATATACGTTAGATATTCTGAATCACAGAATCACAGAAAAGGTTGGAAAAGACCTCTAAGATCATCCAGTCCAACCGTTAACCTAACACTACCAAGTCCACCACTAAACCAATTCAGGGGAGAGTAGCAATTTCATGTTTCCTGGCTTGGTGGCTGGATTCTTTTTTAATGACAGGAAAAACTAGGAATCATTAAGGTTGGAAAGGACCTCTAAGATCATCAGTCCAACCATCAACCCAACACCATCATGCCAAGTGGTACAAGTATTTTTCAAGTTAGTATAATGTTTCAAGAATTCTTTTGGTTCAACATCAGAATAAAAAAAAAAAATGTATAGGAAATGCCACAGCAACACACAGGCACTAACTCTAATTCTACAATAAGATGATTACTGTTGGCCAAACCTTCTAATTTAGTTGGGGTCTCCCCCTTGTCCTATTAAATACTAATTACAAAAAGTACAGAAAAATATTTATTACAAGTTTTCTCTCCAGCTTCAACTGCAAAATAAAAAAAAAAAAAATTAAGTTTCACAAGCTAAGTATATCTTAGCTGCACAGATACATGTGTAGGAAAAAAGATTAATTTAGCATACAGACAAGATCAGCTAGGGACACAGCTACATAACCAGCTCTTTCAGAGTTTCAAAAGGGACTGAGACAAAAATGAAAAATTCTTCAAGCCTTTCAGCAAAGACACACTTAATAATCTGCTGAAAAACTTTTACTCCAGGATGCTGTGGAACTAATGTCCAGTCTTACAGAACAACCAGTTCTATAATTTTTCAAATATGTAACAGATTGCTCTTACTGATGAGTCATACTTCTTACTTTTGTACTTGAGTTCTCCTGGTATGTGGAACTATAGACATTGAAATTCCTCTCTCCAAAGACAGAGCGCTGGACAGAATGGTGCACAGAATCCTCCTGCAATACCAGCAAAAAGGACAATAAGGATCCTATCTAACACACAGTCAGCTGGATACTGACAGTTCAAAAAAAAAGTGTGAAGTGATATAAAACAAGAACAGCTGCATGGCAAGTCATTTTCAGGCATCAGTTTACTGTGGATGAAGAAAACATGGTCTAGACAGAACAGCAAACATGCTTACAAAACGAATCACACCTCAGAAGTGCCCCAAGACAATCTGTCATCTGTACTGCCTTTGTTATGCAACTAAGTAACTAAACATAGCTGAATAATTGTTGGTTTGGGGAGGAGTTCCACAGTACATGTCACTTAAAAAAAGATTTAAGGCTGCCTAAATAGTAACCCACGCTAGGGTTTTGAACAGCCTTCGGCATTGTCTTATACCTAACAGATAGTGAACGATGCCAATAGGGTTACGGAAAACTAGCCACTTTCAGAGGAAAACCGTGATTCTGTGCATCCCATCAGGACCCTGCACGAGAGGCGCGCGCAACTTTTGTTCAAGTATTACATCTCCCCCTGTTGGACGAAGTAATATGTTAAACACGCAGCAATATTAATGAAAAAGACTGAGAACCTTTCCTCCTCTTCCTTGTTTAATCTGTATTTTTGAAAGGGAGCTGGACCTTTTATCAGCTGCTTTTGAGGCTGACTGTTGAGCTATCTGTTTAGGTGCTGCGACACTGACAGAAACCCCGCTTCCCAAGGCTACGGGGGGATTATTTTGCGAGCAACTTCCCTGCTGGTCTTCAGAGTGAGCAGTTTTGAGAAGTTCAATTTTCGTATCAGGGGTTCCTTGCGCCAAGCCAAAATCTACTAAGGCATACCTGAAAGGCACAGATTTAGAAACAGGAGTCACAAAGTATCCATCAATCAGTTCAATTTACTATTTACTTGTTTACTTGTCTTTCACATTTTACTCAATATGTTGCTTAATTGTACTGTTGCCAGCATCACTGTCCTATTTTCCTCCTTCTCCTCCTCTTGTCCTATCTAACCTGTCCCCTCAATGTTTTTACCATATACCCATCTTACTTCATTGCTTCTTGTCCCGTAATCTTCTCAAGTGCATGCTTTCTCCAATGGTGTTAAAAAATTATTCCCAGTAACACCTTTCTGGGGTTCTTCTAGTCCTACAGCTCCCAACCTTCAGCCAACAGTCAAGTACCAGTGACCTGACCCTTGCAGGAGTCCCATGGGCAGAGGCACAAACGTAGCAGTGAAGACAGACAAAACTAACAATGCTGAGAGTTTGGCCAAAATTCAAGCAATGCCGCTGAAATTTACTTCAGTCTTCAAACAGGTAAGACTACGTTAGTTTACATTTCAGATCTATCTTCAAAAGAATTATTTTTTGCTACAACCAGTACAGAGACAATCCAGCTGTCTCTGGGTTTCAGACAAACTCAACTCCATGGCCTCCACACCAAGTAGAGATTAAGCCTCAAACAAATGCTGGAAGAGCAAAATGACAGTGCAAATTCATTTTGACAGATTTAAAACAAACAAACAAACAGTATTTCTCAAATTTTTAAGCTTGTGGTTTGGCAAAATAGTATCAAATCTCCCCTACAAACTTTCACTACACTGAATCATAGAATCATTTAGGTTGGAAAAGACCTTTAAGATCATCAAGTCCAACCATTAACCTAGCACTGCCAAGTCCACCACTAAAGCATGTCCCTAAGCACCACATCTACATGTCTTTTGAATACCTCCAGGGATGGGGGCTCAACCGCTTCCCCAGGCAGCCTGTTCCCATGCTTGACAACCCGTTCGGCAAAGAAATTTTTCCTAATATCCAATCTAAACCTCCCCTGGCACAACCTGAGGCTGTTTCCTCTCATCCTATTGCTTGCTACTGTGGAGAAGAGACCAACCCTTGCCTCACTACACCCTCCTTTCAGGCAGTTGTAGAGAGCGAGCAGGTCTCCCCTCAGCCTCCTCTTCTCCAGGCTGAACACCCCCAGCTCCCTCAGCAGCTCCCCATCAGCCCTGTGCTCCAGACCCTTCCCCAGCTCCGTTGCCCTTCTCTGGAAACGCCCCAGCACCGCAATGTCTCAGTTGTACATAGCACAATATTCACCAATACAGCTATAGGACTGCTAGCACTGAAGCAGTACCTTATTCTATCCATTTCACCTCTTCACAAAAAAACAGTACCTTGCTTTTTACAGTCTGTAAATACTGGGACCTGCAGGCAACAAAACCCAACCCTACTAGTTATAAACATTAATTCAATGTAAGGTTAAAACAGCCCAAATCCAGCTCTCTTATCTGTATCAGTTTTACTCTATCCACAAGTAAAAATTTACAAGTATCAGTCAATGCACCATAAGTCACTATTAGCTTTTCTTATTGAAAAATCTTTTCTTATTGAAAAAAACCCCTGATATTATTCGCCTCATTCTTATTAAAAAATGTAGTACTTTTACTCAATAGTAAAATCTTCATTTTTTCAGGTACTTGTCACTCTATGAGGCAGATATTAAGTATGGAAAAAAAAATTCCTTCCCTCTTCAAATCCCTAAACACAGAAAGCAAAGTTTTACAAATAAAAAAAAAAAAAAATCCTTTTTAGCTTTATTACTTAAGCACATGTTACGCAGCTGGAAGGAAAAACCCCAAAGCCTAACTGACTCTGTTCTGCCAAGGCGCACAACCCCAAATGAGATCACAACATGCTCATCTGGACAGACTTACTCTTTTAGCCGCCTGTTGTAGAGGAAGTTACTGGGCTTGACGTCACGGTGAACAATACCGAAGTGATGAATGCGCCTCAATGCTTTAAACAGATTAAACATGTATTCCCTCACTTCTTCGAAGGAAAGAGAATTCAAAATGTCCTGAAAGATTATTTGGATACTGTAATTATGCAACTGCTTTTAATTAAAAAGTTTTACTATACTTAAAAAGTCTGGGACTCACCAAGAAGGATTCGTGTTCCAGATATGGCATAACAATAACCACATGATCATTTTTCCTAAAGCAGTATTTAACTCCCATAACATTATCTTGTCCCCTAGAAGAAAAGTAATGTCACCGAATAAAGACCAGAAGATGGATGTTTATTTTCCTTTATTTCTTAAAAACTTCAGTCAGGCTTTCTTTTATAATCTAATTTAAATTTTGACAGCAGTCTTAGCAGCAGTCAGCAGTTATGTTCATTGCTATATTCCATTTAAGTTCTGCAATTTGCAATGAGGGCTCCACAGATTATTTGTGGGGCCACGGTTTGTAGTTACGCTGTAATTAAATGTGGGACCTAACCTTTGTGATACCAACTACTTTAAGAAGGTGCTATCCAGCACACTCTGGTAACAAGTATTTATTCCCAAAACCACATTTTCTGATGAAGAGATTATTTTTTCCAAGCATTTCAGAACGGCAATTTTTGTTATCACAGAGATATGTCATAGAACTTCTCAGATGGAAAATACAGCACCATCCGCAAACTGAGACTAGCATAAAAGGGCATCCATTACAGGCAAGACGCTTCATTTCTTATTTGCTCTTGATAAAAAGAATATACATTTCCACAGTTAAAAAAAAGCAAGCAAAGTGCCAAAACTTAAAATAAATAAATACAGAACAGTGAGACAACATTCAGCAGTTTAGTCACGACAATCGTAATTTTTTGTTTATATACCCTGCTACTGTGAGGCACTGAAGTTCAGCAGCAATTCGCAGAGGGTGGCTGGTTGGAATCAAGTGTTTCAGAGCCATTTTTTCCTCATGTCCTGTTTGTAGTTGTGCTGTGGCCAGGTAAACAGAACTAAAAGTACCTGTAAAGAAGGGACAAAAACACCGTCTTCAGCATTTTTAATTAGGTCAATTCAGATTTTTACAGCAGTGGTATAGCTGTTCGCAGTCCTGCACTATACTTGATACTACATCAAAAGCAAATTCTAGAAGAGAAAAACGCGGTTGCTTTTTTCTACTCCTGAATTCAGCGATCTTGTATACAAGTTTTTTATGTCAGTAAAAATGCAAATGTAACACTGTCTAACTTGCCTGGGACACAGAGCTCTTTGAATGTAAATTTCCTATCTTTGATTTGCTTTCTTGTTTAGGTAGCTTACTTTCATCTGACATCTAACTCTTCTCTCCCTACGATGTATGTGGGCTATATAATGCTAATCTGGAAAGCACCGCCTTTACTATTCAAAGCACTTCTGAAATTGCTACATTTTTCTTAATTCTGTTACCTTATCTATAAAGTAAGACTTCTCACATGATGCGTAACTTTACTATTTGTTTGCCCAGAGCATTACCGCATAGACAGAACATGATACCCATTTGAGAAAGGGAGTATTCAGACCGTGCGATAAACTCACCCACCCATTTAATTTTAAGGATATCCTAATACACCTCTTGGGAGGTTAATTTATCCTAATGAGCTGAGATATCTGAACATACAAGTTGAAGCATTGTTCCATATGAATAAACAGTACAAATTACTTTTGATTACATTTTAAGTATTGTGTTTGCATCACGCTAGTTCAACAGTCTGGAAGCGCATACATAACAACCAGAATGCCAGCAAAAACTCTAAGTACTTCTTGCAGTCATTAAAAAAAAAAAAAAAAATCTAGAGTCCCATACATTCAGTAGAATTGATTATAGCAACAAGGGTTACCAAGTTGACCTAAGCCTTTTTTTTGGTGGTGAGAACTGCTAAAATAAAAGTGGCTCCAGAATGGAATCCTAAGTTGAAGCTTGTTTTCTCATAATGCTGCAGAACTGCAAGTGGTATTTTTTAAAAGCATTGTTTGCTCCCGAGGGCAAAATCAGAGTACTATTCATAACCAGAGATTTTGTTTAATTACACTATCTTTTTTATGATAGGCAGAACTCGTTTGCTTGTTTGTTTGTTTATGAGATTTTGTATTGCTGTGGTGAATGGAGCTGGGGTTTTTGGGGTTGCATTGGGTTTTTTTTGGAGAGAAAAACTTTTAGCCATCTAGCCTGCCATGACAGGTATTCCATCCCAAACCAGCCATAAAACAATCCAGACTCTCTCTCATCAACATCTTTGTTTAAAAAAGTGTGGAGTGTCACAAAGCATTTCAGAGATCAATTGGGTAAAGTTCCAAAAAGCACTGAAATACTGCACTTAGAAGTACCTAAGAATCTATTTATTGTCATGCCTAACATTTATTGAAGGTATCTGTAACAGTAGCTGTTGAAAGCAAGGTGTATGTAAGTGTTCTAAAATTTGACACTGTATGTCTTAAAAAAAAAAAGGTTGTTTTGTTTTGTTTTTTTTTAAATAAAGCAGCTATAACCTTTCAGTCTCCTCCTCCACTTCTGCCCACAGGGCTTCAGTGGAAACAAAGCCAACTTAAGGAACAGCAGTTAAATATGTCAAAACACAGCTGCATATAAATAGATTTCTCATGTAAAAGAGAAAAAGAATGGAGTGTTAAGACTTATTTACTCAAATCTACCACAAAAATTTTTAGTTGTTGAAACTGGAATGCTGGTGTTTTGAAAGGCTTCAATATACCAGATTCTCAAGAAAATATCTTGAATAATGTCCCTAATTAACACACCTCTATGCTCAGTAACATATTAGAATTCCTACAGAGACCAAGAAGTAAATCAAAAAGGCATGTGGCTTAAATTGCATATATTGGGATCTTAGATTTATATCTTTTAAGTTAGAAATACCAAAAGAAATTTAAGTCTAAGTAAGCTAAAATAAAACATTTACCTTCTCCAATTTTTTCCTTAATTTTGAACACATTTACAAGCTGTGGCACTGCTTCATAAAGTTTTTCAATATCTTTCTTTATTAAACCTGCTGTGGAAAGAATGGGGAAAGTAAGTTGGGAATTTTATTGGTTGATTCAATATCTGATCTATATTTCAGATCACAAATCACAATTCAGTTCATAGGACTGTGAATTTACGTAAACAGAGGAAAAAATAGCAGACAGGTATCTATGCCTTCTGACATTACCATCTGCATACTTGATATTACTGTTGCTCTTCATCACACTCCCTTATAAGCTGCAGCATTTAAAAATTAATTTTTTTTTTTTTTTTACTTATCTGCCGCCTAGCAGTTCCTTAGAGGGCAAAAGCCTTCTGGTTAATAAGACATCAGCTTATAGCTCATTGATAAATGTTTTCATGAGACTTGCAACATCAATTTCATGAAAGACAAAACTATAATAGTTGTTTCTATAAACACAGGAGCACATCCATGGGATGTAAATCAAAAATGTAGGAAAAGGTTTTTTTTTTTAAAGATCGAAAATGCAATCTTTTACACTGTTACTTAAAATAGCAAACACCAAAAAAAATGTTTGCCCTGCATTGAAGTTGCTGCAGTTTGTGCTGCAATCACTAGATGGCATAACAAGGATGTTGTACTGTATTAGCTCAAAAAATTTTATAGTTTTCCATTCAGTTTACAAATCCTTGTAGTTTAAGTATTCTCTCTACCCTGCATCAGAATTCACTTCTTTTGAAGCTATGAAGTATGTAGAGGCTGTGACTAACTTCTGTAAAGCAGGGGTGAAGAATATTTTATTATACAGAAGTAAGCACAAACTGGTATTTGGAAAGTCTGTCAAATGGAAGAAAAAGATGTGTATACATTTTTCATCCTAAAAATAAATAAAAAATTAAATTTAAGATAAATATATAAATTGTGCTGTACACATAAAAATGTACTGTTTCACCAGAACAGTAAGTCACAAGCAATGAGAATTATTTTCAAAATATCACTGATATGCTAGAAACAAAGTATGGATTAGCATGCATCCCCAACTTTCTATGTTAGCTCACTGTATACAGCAAAAAAATCCAAAGTCTGCCTAAAGAACCTTTTCTTCCTGGTAAAAGCCCCCAAAATTAGTTGGTAATTCAAGTTCTAGTTAACTTGCAATTGTAATTTATTTCAAAAATGTATTAAAACCAACATACGAAAAATACTTTTAAGAACTGAAGCCTGCTACCTCTATTACTATCCATTCACTTTTTTTTTTTTTCCCCTTTAAGTTGTTCCCTCTGCTTTTCCAAGTTATTTTGTTTTAAGTCATTTCAGGGGGGAATATTTCAGCAATGAAAAAAACCCTCTACACTACACATCAAAATTGCTAACATTCATTTAAGATACTGTTTTGATCAACAAATACAAGTAAAAGGTTAATCAGTTCTGCTAGGAATCATATTTAAAAACTTAAAAAATATCCTAGGATGAAAAAGGCCAGACTTGTACTAACAGTCAAGATATATAGGACCCGGTGTCTAACAATCCCCAAAGGAAAAGGCTAAGGAATACTGGTCAACTGTACAGTTATTCTGGTTATTCCCCAATTTTACAGAGCCAGATTAAGTTAAACACCTTGAAAAGCAGGAAATTGAAAGTTTGAGGAATCATTTCATTTTCCTGTCAATATAGTAAAAATTGCTGTTGAAAATAACACTAAAAATTCAAGAAGTTACTACATAACATTTTTGGAATTGATAGCATTCATAGTGCCCATGTGCTCCAAAATTTATTACGAAATTTATCTACTATTGCTGTAATTCTTGTTTTGTCACTAAAAAAGAATTGTTGATAAAAAACTTTATCATTTAAAAAGTGGTATTTCCAGTTAGTTTGCACAGTAACGTCAACTTTTTTACACAAATGCTCAGGTATTACATAACAAATGTAAGACATTCAAGAAAGCTTTCTGAAATCTTCAGAAAATACAGGAAGGGGAAAGGCTGATATTTGTACCGTGTTCCATTTTCCCCAGGAATACTCAAAGACGTTAAGAGAAGAAACCACATAACAGAACTACAAAGAACACCAAAATGTTATCACATCGCTCAAAGACATAGGCCTGTCCTGTGGAAGATGATCCTGTTATTGGGTTCTGAAACATCCTACACAAACTTCATCCCAAGAGGTCAGTAGACAGAGGACAAAGCTAGAAAATTGTTTTCAACAGTGATATAGTTCTAACAGGCTCTGTTAGAACAACATTGTTTAGAACTAGTTTGCTATCTAACCTGCTCTAAATAAAGCAACTTACAGTTTTGTTCCAACGCTTACATTTTAGTCTGACTTCTGATGAGAGTTGCTTAAGCTTCAGTTTTTACTAAAAAAAAAAAATATACTGACAGTAACTTACAACATAAAAATTTGCCACTGGAATTTCTCCAGTAAAGTTGCTTGGTTAGGAAAAAGGGACTTAACTCTGGCAAAAACCAAGACCCCTAACACGGGCTCAAAAGGCACATCTTTTAAGTCTCTAGAAACCAGCGGATTTCTGCTTCCCTTACCATAGCAGGTTTTGGGTTGTTTTGCACCAGCAGTCTAACAGTCCTCAGGTAGCTACTAACAATGATGAATAGCTCTCTCAATACCTGCTACAGAATCTGCCACATACTCCGTTTTGTCCGACACTGAATTCAGGTGCCTGCCTGGACAAAGTTCAGCGCTATCGGAGCACTAACAGCTGGGCGACACAGGCTGCAGATCCTAGGCCAGAGTGGTCCCTACCCAAGGCACTGAGAGCATTGAGTAACTCAACACAGCTTCTTGTGTGAAAGATCCCGAAAACTGCTAGAAAGAGTCAGTGACTGCCCTTGTTGATAGACAGCAGTATAAACATCATCTGTTCTCTTCTGGGGGCCTGAATCCCCAGTTGGGTATAGAGGATATACAGTCATTGTACCATCGGTGAATAATAATAATAATATCCAACATTTTCTGTGAGCCGATTTTAAAGTCATTTCTTTACGTCCCAGAATGAAAAGCATTTGCAAAGCGAGACAACTAAACGTTACTCAGCAACACTCTATGTAATTCTGGACATGGATGTGCAGGGGACTGACAGAGGACTATCTATTTCTAGCAAAATCAGTAGCCATTATATATAAGCTGGCCAACTGTCCACAGTTACTGAGCAAGCATTGTACAGAAAGTCCAGATTGAAGTACATTCACAAAGAGACCCAAAAACGAGGAGCAAAACCACTATCAGAGCACATGTTCGTAGTTCAGCTTATCTGGCAAGAGCAAGAACGGTGGTTTTATACACATAGACACATCTACAGAAATTTACGGATAAGACTGGCAGTTAGAGGTAAAAGGCAAAACATTATTTTTGTGTACTTGTCTGGTCAGAGAATTGTATTCTCAAGGACTGCCTTTCTGGAATTCTGGTATCCTCTTACAATAACACATTCCGTAATAAATAAATAGTAGGGTTAGCGAATTGCGACAAAGTACTGCTGCTGAAGTTTTGTAATACACAGAAAGCAGGAATAAGCTTAAAACCAAAAGCAACCTCAAATGTTTTCATTTCGTTAATTCTTTATACAATAGGACCGCATAGAGACAAGCTTATAATTGATGCCGAAACTTCCCGAAGTGAAGCAGCAGCATGTCAGCAACAAAACACAACGTTAGCAATCCCTGTTTTAGCACATACCTGAAAGCTTGCTGTTCTGCTCATGCTTCCCATGGAAGTCTTCAGCCTGATGAGGGTGCTGTTCATCACAGTGAGACTTCAACACGGTCTCCATCACAAAACAAACCTGAAGTAAAAAAATCCAAGACTTTGAGGACCACTTCTGGACACCTGGGGGAGCAAGCATATCTGGTGAGAAGCTTCCTGGCCCTGCACTCAGCTCCTGAGATGAGATTTAGGGGGTCTGAGGAGTTCCTCTGTGCTCCCTAAAACAACAAAGCGTCACCCATCATCCTAGAGAAGAACTAAACCAGTAAACCCACTCTCTCTCTAGTAGGAGGGAAAAAGGGGAAAGACTGCAGGATAAGCTTAGACACAAGTGATTTTCTTTCATCTCTTGTGTGTTTCCTCATTCGCATTAAAGCATTATCTTTTCCCTGAAGTTTGCTTTGAAAGGCAAGGAACTGCTGCGCACAGGAATAGCTGCATTGCATGCTGCAACACCCGTACAAAGACAGGAAACGTGAAAGAAATTATAAAAGAGAAAAAATGTCTTTTCAGTATGAGAGATTTCTCTCTCTTCTAGACAAGATCAACAAAAAGCATAATTATTTGTTGCCCTCTCACCATAACAAGAAATAATAGCACAGGCTTATTTTGAAATGCTTCTTCCCAAATCTTGGAAACACTGTAAATAAAACTGTAAATTAGTAAAGTGTACTAATCTTGTACAATCAAAAAAACCCTGATAATCCTATCTCATGAGGAAAAGAAAGGCAGAGGACCCCAGGGCAGGATAACCGGTGATAAGCGAGCCTGCAAGCACCACTTCTTACAGTTGCCCAACACTGGTTCCATTCAAAGATCTTCCTCGCTTGTAACTTTGCCAAACCTTCAAAGTTCTGGCTGAACTTTTCCGCACGGGGGAAACATATTCTGAAAAACTTCAAATTAAAGGATTCATCTGTTTCAGCTACGGAGCTAGAAATATATTTTGTCCCCAGGGAATTCGAGCTACCTTTAGTCTGTCGTCCTCATGGAACAGAACAGGGACAGGCAACAGCTGCTTTTTTTGAGGGAGCTTTGCTGGAGAGTGGGACTGACAAACCAATGGAATGAGATTAGAGACATTTCTAGTCTCTCACAGGTAGACACTCCCTCTGCTAGTGCTGAGTGGGCAAATAAGCCTGTTCCAAACCTGAAACGGCATGGCCTCATTAGCAGAACAAGGAGTACAAATTAATACAGACACCCCCGCCACGGCCTACTTGCTCTGATTCAGCCTCAGCTCTGGGCTCTTCAGTTCAAGGCTGGCCACAAACACCTTGCTTGGAAAGAGAAAACGAACGCTTCTGTCTGCCCGCACGCCGCCGGGGGAACACGCTCATGGCTTGCCGGCCATGAGGAGGGTGAAAGGGGCTCCGTAACTCACGGCCTCATTTCATCGCTGTTAAACACACAAGCTACTATCTGCAGAACCGAACACCTCGAATACTTGAGTATATTAAAAAATGGTTTACTAATTTGGAAGTGGGCTTAACAGTTATAAAATGGAACATCAAACAAGGTTTGATTCAGTCAGATATTCAGTTTTTACATTAGAAAATGCTCAGAAGACACCACTAGAGATAAAAAATTAAGAGGAAGACCAAAAGGATCCAAAGTTTCAGCTCAAAGAACTTTCTTGCAGTTAAATCACATCTCCTATTTAAAAAAAATAAAGTTCTCCATAAGATCAAGAGACAAAAAAAAAAAAGCCCACAGATAGCGACAGGTTCAAAAAGCCCACATAGCTTCAGGGTCTTCCGAGTCGGATATCTGAACTTTGCAGACAAAAATTAGCGATACCACTGCCGAATCCTTGGCCAACGCAACGCTGCTAACTGGAACGCAGCGCCTGCCACTAAAATGCAAAGCTCCTTTAAACGGGAACTTACACACAGACACGCCTGGAAAAAGCTCGGCAGGCCAAAAATAAAAGTCGCTGTTAATATCTCTTTGCCATTTAAGAAAAGCAATTTTTGTGGCTGAATTAAGCCTTGCAACAAGTTGACGTTTGCTACAGACACACAAGGAAGCCGTCTATGACAGGACAAGCACCAGAGGTCACGCATGCAGAGCTTCAGCCGAACTGATGGTGCCAGCGCTGCCGGCGGACGGAAAGCACCTGGAGCTGGGCACAGCAGGCTGCCTTCGAGGGCAGCGGCTGGCGGACTCTCGGTGGGAC